TTGCTTCTTTAACCCCTCAAGTAGCAGTGTAGAAGCCAGTGGCTCTGGGATGGGCACTGTCCTCTAGAACTCCACCAGTCTCATTTGCTACTCAGACCCAAAGGTACTGTAGCACTCACAGTTTATCTCTGTTAGCAGATCAAAGTCACACTCAGGATTTGTCTAGACAAGGCACTTTGAGAAAATTAATCTGAATCAACCAATACAAAGTGAACTAACTATATGTTGGACTTACACTCTAAGTATCTGCATAGGTGTTTATTACTGTTGAGTAAATCTACATTATAAATCTATTGAAATTAACTTCCATGTTCCATAGATAACTCAGTTGCAGTTTCTTAACAGGAACTCCCTAATGTGAGCCATAAAGCCATCCTCTTTCTTAAGACTTTTTCAGGCAGGAATTACTCGATCTAAACCTGCAGTTCTTAACCAGGCAACAAGAGGAATTATGGCAGCTATGACAGAAGTGATCTGTTAAGCTGACTAGCTGGTGTTATAATCAGATCACTTAGATATTCTATATTTAAATAATGCCCTGTTGCTATCAAGCTTTCCTAAAATTCTAATTAATGGCACATTCCAAATGTGAAGATATTGCCCCTCTTTCCATAAGAATTGAGAGAACAGAAGTGATTTGTTACGCACCTGACACAAAGGAAAAAAAAACTGTATAATTTAATATTAGACACATAAAATACGTATGTCTGCATCTTACCTGTTAGATCATACACTGCACAATTGGGTATTCATGGGTGCATCTCCTCTTTAAAATAGACTAGATGAGTTATATATTCAAAGTGCCTGCTTCTCTCTAATGACTGCAAAGAAGTGTAATGTGACATGGTACACACTGTATATCTCTAAACTACACTAATGTGTGTCAAGTTTTCCCTAATCTTTCTTTCATCTTGGCATGCCCTGCTAAACATGACTGCAGATTTCCAATCTCTGGCTGCAATCTGTATCTCCCCTTCTCCTCTTCAGGTCATCTTCCATGCATTCTCATTTAATATTTGAATATCATTAAATATCTGAATATCTGAAAGTCAAATTTCAATGTTGGTGGGTTGTTCTGGTTCCAATAATTCAACTGTTTTGCTACAAATAGCATCTGAATGTTACTTGTCACAAGCACTGTTGTTTTAAGGAACCATGCTCACCTGTAGAAAAGACAGATGGAAAATGCTCAAGGGCATTGTCTCACATGAGATTGCTCTAGCAGTCCCACTGCTAAGACTGTGACAGCACAGTAACCCTGGCAGATGTACTTCAGCCTGTGAGCCCCCCTTCTCCAGTCTGATTTCAGGCAGGCTGGTGCATCCCTTCCAAGGCCCAGCCTTCACTCGAGGCCACAGTTTGGAAACTGGTGCTCCAGGCCTCATAAAGGTTTGAATTAAGCATATATAGTATTTTCTGGATAAGACTAGGTGGAATCTAGTTTCCTTCTGTGGCAGGATAACAGATGGGATAAGCAGGAGGTGTCATATCTTGACTGTTTTTGACACTGACATGTATTATTCTTCTACCTCAGACACAGAAACACAGTTTAGAGGAAACTGATATGGGACGAGTACAAAATGGCTGGGAAATCATTCACTAGAAGTATTTATCAGTGGTTATTTATTGAAATGGAAGCATATAGAGAGTGGAATTCCTCAGGAATCCATGCTAAATTTGAAGCTTAGCAATATTTCCATTAACAACCTGAATGAAGGAAGATAAAATATGCTTATTCATTACTGCAGATAATCCCATAGAGACCACCAGCTTACTGGAAAATAGGACTGAAATTCATATTATCTTGACAAGCTGGAGAAATAGTCTTAAAAATAGGTGGCAAATTTATGTAAGGACATATAGAAAGTCCTGTATTTTCACACTACAGAAAATAAAGTCTAGGCAAGAAGTGGTAAGACAGCAGCCTCATAGAAAGGAGTTAGGAGAGCACAGCCAGGGTTTAATCAACTGTGCTGTTGCAATTTAAAAAATGTTAAAAAATAGTAAACCCCACAGAGGGACAGTAAGAGCAAAGAGTAAGATAGCCTTGAGAGACTTGAACTGGGGCAACGTCCTAGATGGAATACCGAGTCTAATTTGAGACACTGTGAAATAGAAATTGCACAGAGTTCAGAAAAGAGAGAGAAGACTTGTGAGAGGTTAAAAAAAAAAAAAAATAGCACACCAGTGAAGAAAATGCAAAAGGACTGGTGTAGGGAATGCTGGGCTCCATGACAGCTTTGATGAATGGAGACGAGGGATCTCTGAAGGCTGCTCTTAGGATATCAGGTTTATTAGGGATGGAGAAAGGTCTTGCCTGGAGCTGCCAGACGCAGCACGTGGCGAGGCTTGAGGGGATGGGGAGGGGAGAGACAAGGGGTAGAGAGGATGCTCTAGGAAAGGGTGGAAGCTCTAAGAGGGGGAAAGATCCAAGAGGGTGTCTGGCCCCTCAGAGACCCCTTATCAGGGGGCTTCAAGGTGGGCTGGAACAAGACTTAGGCCAATGGGGTCACAGACACTTGATGTTTCAGGGGAGGGTTACAGGTGTTGGATGAATCATACATTTTGGGGTTGAGATGGAACAGTCCATTTGACTTTTGGACTTGTCTGTAGGTAAGGGTATTGTCCAGCCAGTAGGGGGGGATTTTTTTCATCCTGGCTGTACTATTGTGAATCTTTTGCCAGGCAGTTATATTTATTCATCTTTCCCAACAGACTGGCATGGTTTAATCCACAGATGACTGCAGAAGACATGCCAAGAAAACACTTCCAGCAGGAGGGGTGGTTAAACACTGCATAGATTGCATGAGGAGTGTGTAAAACCTCATCCATGGAACAGGCTAGACAAATGGAAAAGACAAAGGGTAGCAGATCATCAGGGCATAGGGAGAGGTTCAATGATCTCTGTGTTCCCTTTTACCTCTGTTTTCTAGGATGCAATCATTCTGCATCTTCTAAACTTTCTGCTAAGAGCAGTTGTGTTTAGAGTAATTGTGCAAAGACCAGCATTTCTCATTCAGCATCCTTGGAGCTGAATGAACCTGAGCTTTTTACTTGTTATAAATTCAGTAAGTTCGCTACAGCTCAGAGTTCACTGCACTAAAGCTAAGGCAGTTAGACAGCCTGCTTTTATAATGCTTTCAGTGAATAAATTTGCACAGCTGCTACCTACAGTCTACATTATTGCTCAGCACCACTTTGTTAATTTGGAATCCAGATCTGGTGACTGATTTAGGAAAACAGTTCAGCTAATCCCTAGTGAATAGAAATCCTCAGCCTAAGATTGTACGGCTCACCAGATTCCCACACGTGCAAAAGCAGCAGCTGCCTTGCAAAGGGAAGTTAAAATATCAAGCACAAACTTTAGGGGGTTTTCATATGACATGCTTATTTTCCTTCCTCAGAGACCTAGGGCTCCAAAAGGAAGGAGTAGAGACAATCACAAACTTTCCCAGTAGATGACTTTCATAGTAAGGTGGAAAGTGCATATATGTGCCCCAGAGAGCTCTGAGAGGACAATGATCCTGGCAGGACAATATTCAGGGCTAGTGTTAAATAAATTCTGCTAATTAGCCTACTCTTGTTTTTTCAATCAGCCAATACAACTAGTGTGCATAGCCATGTGATATTAATAACCCATATATTTAAAATTATCTTCATGTAATTGCCTTCTGCATGATAAAACATATTCAGGTAGAGTACTGTGAATTACAGTTCCTTGGTGAGAACTTCTGGGCAAGAATTCATTGTTATGGGAAGGCTCCTGTGCATTCTTCATGCCTGATAGGAATCCCTTGACTGACCCACAGTCTGTTGAGTTTTGGGAGACAACATAAGACCCATTATTTCACTCAAACTTGGCATGAGGCAGGCAAGCAGCTGGGATGTGGAGATAGGCAATCAGCCAGACATATGTTATGTACCATACCTGTTCCTGCAGTAGCCATCCAAATTTAGAAATAAATGAAAAAAATATAATAAAAACAACTATTTTAATTACAATAATGGAAATTCATTTCTTCCTCGAAATTATTATTATAAAGACATAATAACTGCTCTCAGATAAGTCCTTCTGTGTGGCACTGCATTACTGAATGGTTCTGCTGCAGCTGGAACTAGCTTCTATTAAGCACAAAACTTCCTCCTACCCATATTCAGGAGAATGTCCCCCAAATATGATTCTCTCTATTCTCATATTTATAATACAAGCTTTGAGAACATTATGTAAGTTGTCTAGCTATATATTGATTTATATATGCCCCTGGATATCTCAAACATATGCCTCCCTTTTCTCATTCTTGCTGTGCTCTTGCACTGATTTTTCTGATTTTTTTTCACTTTCCCCCCATACTTTCTTCCACTGTTTCTGAGACTTTTTTTCCTTCCAAATTAAGATGTATGGAATTAACCTTAGAAGCTCCTTTTCAATAGACTTATGCTTCTCTCCTGTTCTCAAGAGCAAAGAGATTTACTGATTAAATACTCTCACCTGCCAATTACAAAATGGAGCTCAGTGCAGCGCAGTGCAGTGCACTGCAGGCCACTAGAGAAGAAGAGCTGAAGTCTGTTCATTAGAAGCAGGATATTCTTGTCCAGGGTTATTTTCTGGGAAGTATACATTCACAGGTGCAATGAGAGATCACTGATGTAATGCCTAAGAAAAAAAAATGAGGCTCAGAATCTAAAGCTATTCAGATACTTACATACTACTGCCCAGCAAAAAAATATTTAAATAGGAGTCAGATGCCCAAGGACCCCAGATGACCTTTGGGGATCCAGACCTATGGTCCCATCTGAGCTACTCAAGCACCAAACAATTCAAGATGATCTCAGGTGAATAAGAGTCTCATGTGGAAAACTTAACTAAAGTTTCTGACATAAATATACTTCTGGGAAGTGAACTAGGTGTTGCTGGTCTGTTTTCTGAGATCTGTATTACAGATAGCCAATGTGCACAGAAATGGCTGAGTGCAAACCATGTGTTGATTGTGTTAACTTACAGTTCTTGTAGTGTCATACATTGCTGAGCCACTCATTTGACCTGTTAAAAAAAAAACAAAAAAGGCATATTTACTAAAATTATGTAACTAGCTTTTGATTAGTAAATAATTTCTGAATATCATTTTATATTGACAAGACTTCCTTTTCATATAACATCTTAAAAATTTTACCTTTAGCCAGATACTGACAGGTCAGGGATCTGGCATCTAAGGTAGGATATATGCTTCCAAATCAAGTGCTTCAATTTGCTGTGCAATACATGAGAAAATGTAGACTCTCGGAAGAGTGATAACTATACAGTTGCACACTAAACCATGAAGAGTCAGGTAGTACAACAGGCCAGACATGTGAAGCTGATGAAATTTAATTTCTCTCTGGAGTTTGCATACCTTGAAGTAACAATTCAAACCTAGTTTGAATTCTAGACCAGCACTTAGCATCGTCCTGAAGCTCTGAGCATTGCTAATATGGTGAGCACTTCAGCAGAAGCGGTACTATTAAATTTGCACATTGCAAATCTCCAAAGCCACAAGCACACGCATTTCATCACCCAAATACTTTCATTTCTACCTAAGCAGATATACATTAGAGATACTGAAGGTTTCTCCATACATTAGCCACTTGATACACTAATCATTTTGGTTACTCTTCCTTCAGTTCACTCTAGAACACTTATTAATTTATGACTGAGAAGTAATATTAAATAATCTATTAAAATGAGGAAATATACATTCAGATTTATGCAGGGAAACATTTTTTTCACTGTTCATTCTTAATTTACATCTTGATGAGTCATATCCCCACTGTTACACTGCCAAGTCAAATAACATTTCATTGTCAATTAAAATTGTCCCACGGGACTGTAAAACGCAAACCTCTTTAATGAATTTGGTCCGCTAAATTATTATGGCCAAGAAAAAAACTAGTGAAGAAGACATCTTTTCAGAGCCACTAGCTTTTGAGAGGGCGAATGAATGATTTGCAGTTTCAGTGGAGGAACAGCTGTACCTCCCTGAAGGGAATGGCCGGCGGCGCCGCCCCGAGTGACCCGCACGGGCGGCCCGAGGTCTCCAAGGCGGGAGACAAAAGAAAAATTGAAGGATCGGGGAAACCATAAGGTGTATTGGTGCAGCTGTACAGAAGCCAGAAGGGATTGATGTTATCAACAGCCTTTTCGAGTTTGGGGCTAACCATGTATTTTTACAGGGAGGAGATGCGGGATACGGACACCTTTTGAATGCCGCACCTCGGCAGCCCCGGGTTACCGGCGAGCCCGGGGGGAGGCGGCGGCCAGCTGTAGCGAGCTGGGCGGAGAGCCCGGGATCGGCTCTGCACGACAGCCCTTCCGCTCACGGACCCTTCGCCGCGGCCGCAGAGGCCGGGCCGGGCCGGGGCCGAGCCGTGAGTGTCCGGGGCGGTCTCCGCGGCCGAGGCTCAGCCCCTGCGCGGCCCGGCCCCGGGGCGGTGAGCTCCCTCCTCCCCGCATGTCCTGCCCGGCTCGGCCTCCGCCCGGCCCGGCGCCGCACGGCGCTGCCCTCTGGACTGCTCCGGCTGTCCCGGCGCCGTCCCAAGAGGTACCAGCACTGTCCTAATTGTCCCAGCACCATTCCAGCCCTGGCCCCGTCTGTGCCAAGACTGTGCCAAGACTGTCCCAAGGCAGTTCCAGACTGCACCAGCGCTGTCTCAGATGTTCCAGCACTGTTTCAAACGGTGCCAGGGCAGTTCCAGTCTGACCCAGCTTTGTCCCAGCACCGTTCCAGGATGTCCCAGCATTATCACAATTGTTCTAATACTGTACCCGACTGTCCTAGCATCGCCTCAACTGTCCTAGCACTTCCTGACCATAGTCACAGACTGTCCCAGCGCTGTGCCAGACTTTCCCAGTGAATTGTCGTGAACTGTCCCAACACAGTGCCGGCACAGCCACAGCTCCTCCGCGGGTACCCACCCCACCTGTCCCCCGGCGTGCCCTAGGGCGAAGCTCGTCCCCCGTGTACCGGCCAGGTGGCACGAAACGGAGGGACCTAGCGGTGACAGTTCCAGGGCCACGGGAAGAACTAATCCTGCCCCGGGATAGCACATGGCCACTGTTAGAGAGACAAGCACGGGAAAAGGAGCCGGGGGCTCTGCCGATGGCACCCACACGCTGCTTTACTGTGGTGTTTGCAGTTACTGTGCTCAGAGAAAAGTCAGCAATGCTTCAGCTCCCCAGGAACATCCGAGCACGGACAAACCTGCACCTCGGGGTGTCAAGTTTGCAGAAAATGGCCAAAGATACTTCTTTTTCTCTTTTTCTTTTTCTTTTTCTTTTTCTTTTTCTTTTTCTTTTTCTTTTTCTTTTTCTTTTTCTTTTTCTTTTTCTTTTTCTTTTTCTTTTTCTTTNTCTTTTTCTTTTTCTTTTTCTTTTTCTTTTTCTTTTTCTTTTTCTTTTTCTTTTTCTTTTTCTTTTTCTTTTTCTTTTTCTTTTTCTTTTTCTTTCTTCCCGGAGATAAAAACAGTAAGCTGAACGCAGGAGATAAACAACTGTCTGGTGGTAAATACTGACCAGCAGTAGCAGCAGCAGCTGGAGCCGGATCACCAGCACTGCCAGCGTGTTAGCGGCAGCGTTCAGAGGAGAGCGGGAGAGAGGGGAGATCTCCGGGCTGCCGTAGCTGCCTGCACGCCCACTGCCTTCACTGGCTCGAGTGTCTGCGAGAAAAGATAAGAGGCTGGTGCAGAGAAACAACAACAATAAAACAAAACAAAAAAATATGTAGGGAGATAAAAAAACAACAAAACATTAATCATTTGGAAGTAGCTGCAGAACCACTGTCCCCGGCCGGGGCGCGCAGGGCAGGTGGCAGCGGGTGGCGGTGGCGGTGCAGCGATCCCTCTGTCCTGCACAGGCCAGCCAAAAGGGCCAAGGGAGGAGCGAGGAAAATGAACCCCGGCCACAGGGAGACCCCGCTGCCCCACTGGGAAACCTGCGGGGAATGGACAAGGCGCCCCGTAGCATGGATGGCAGGACAGGAGGTGATAAAGGACTCCCCCACACTGCAGTAGTGATGGAAAAGGAAAGTCTAAAACTCCCCAAGCGCACGTTTCAGTTTCAGCGGAGCGGTATGGAAATTAGTCATCCAGTACCAGGTCCTGAAGGCTTTTCGGAGAGTCAGAAGTTACGTTTCGAAGCGGTGTCATTGTCGTTTCTGTCTTTACATATTTCCAACACAGTAGAAAGTTTCCATCCGAGCAATTTGAACCTTTTACGGTAGCCACTCTTTTCCCCGGAAGCCAAAACCAGCCTGGGAAGCAGATCTGCAGCAGGCTGGCAGCTTGCTCTTCGCCTCGATTCGCCTGACCAAGAGGTGATGGTAAGGACGGCTGCACTGCCAGGACACCCCGGCTCCTGGCTCCACCACCGCCTCACTGGGACCTGCCCTGGGACCAGAATCGTGTCCCTCAGCAGCTCGGCATCTTCCCCGAACGACTAAATAACTCAAAGCAGCAGCTAACTCAACTCCAAAAGGTCACATTTGCGGGTGGGGGAAACCCTAAACAGTTGTTGCTGCTCTTTTGGTTTGTTTTTTTTTTTTTTTTTTTTAATAGCGGCATTCCAGCTTTTCCCAATTCTGAATTTCTTTGCTTAATTGCATCGTTTGACTTTCTGCTAAAAAGGTGTGATCCTTTGTTTTTTTTTCTTTACACGTTAAATAACTCCTGATGTGCCAGGAGAAATAAAAGTACCACCAGACACCCAAGGTGCCGAATATTTTTGCATTTGGTATTTTTACGACGAGATTTTAAATCACATACTCTTGGATTTACACCCAAGTCTGTGCACAGTTTGACCAGAGACGAAACCCCGCCTCAGTGTCACTGGGTCAGGAGAGGGACGGGGGACACACAAAAATATGAGCTTGGGGACATCTCTGCGGAAAAGTGTGTTTGAAAACGGGACGCTAATAAAGCTGACATCGAGGGGATGAGCAGGATGTTGAGCCTGGCTTGAAAGCGAGCCTTTACACAGATATTTTGTTATCATCAGAGAAATCTTTGGACTGGGAAACGAAAAGGAGCGAGAAACTTAACGCTTGCGGAAGGGAGAAGTGGTGTCCCCATGCCCATAGTCCCGGTGCCCGGCAGCCCCTCTCCAGCCAGAGGCGGCTAGGCTGCCATGGGGGACATTTCTGAAATTATACCCCCTGCTCCTGGCCACAGTTCTGAAATCGCTGAAGTTTCTAATAAATATTTTTTTTTTAAATAAAAAAAAAAAAAAAATTTAAAAAAAAAAAAAAAAAAGCAGAAAAGGCAAGTGCTTCCTGGGACACTGGTCATCCAGGTTACTGCATTTCTTTTTCTAAGCGCTGTCATTTTTTGGGGTATATATCGTTCCAATCGTGACGAGAACGTGTTAAAGACCCCACTAATTTATAAAGAACAAAGACACTTTCCAACTACACTAGGAAAGAAAAAGAAGAAAGGAGGGGGGAAAAAACCACACCAAACCTCGACTCAATTGAAAACAACGATTTTGTTCTTGGACGGCTACCAAGTTTTTGCTCTTACCGTCCCGGGACTTTGATTTAACCTCAGTAACATCCTGAAAGGCTACAGTCACTTTGCATACATCGCATCGTACCTTTTCGGTCCCGCAATAGATTGCAGTTCCGAGCTGACGGCGGGCTCTCCAGCAAGGTACTTTTTTCGGTACAAGAAACGTGATGAACCGCACGGGGTTAAATTAAACCTCGCAGATATCCAGTTTGTATGAACAAAAAATCGCCTAGTCTTTAACAACCTGGTCAAACACGCTGGACAGGACAACGGTGTCTGAAAATTATTACGAAATTACGCGGGTCTAGACACACCCTCCCAAAAAAAAAAAAAAATCAGACAAAAAAAAAATTTAAATGCCCCAAAAATCTCGGCAGGAGTGACCGGTGTTAACTGCGGCTTACTGATCCTTTAGCTTCGCTTCGACGCGCAGATCACGTCCATCCTCTCCTCAGGTTTCCCAAAATCTCGCCTTTCCAGCCCATTCTGGGGGCTTAACCGTACGGA